CTCTCGAAAACTCACTCTTTCTCACACATAGGTCTACATGACCCCCGGTGTTTCAATTAGTTCTTCTGTTTTTAATGATTCAACGGTACCATATTCGATGAATAAAACATAGGACATAATACAAAAAGTAGCGCGCGTCTCGTTCGCTGGTCGTCGGTTAAGCGAATGAGAGCAGGCTGCGTTTTGCGGGTGCGTGTGGGAGTAATTTGTGAGTCGCGCACGATACGGTGCGGACGTCGGGGCGAGTAGAAGGTGGATCTTTATCTGGGCGAATTTTACGAGCGTTTTAAAGGATCGTTAATTTCAGGACTTTTATCGTGCCTCGCCTCGAGCCTCGGCCGCTCGGGTGTCCGCTTCCACCGGCAGCTGCTAAAAGTGGATTTCAACGAAAGTTGAGCATCGATGTTGCGCCGTCTCGTTGTATTAGCGATTCTCTAAATCATCGAAGCGAACGTAAGACTGAAAAGATCGTTGATAAACAAATTTATTCGCGTTGCGTCCGTTTCATGCAACATCTGTTGGCTCGCGGACCGTTTAATTAACTGGGAGGCACATAGTAAAACGTTTTACGACTTCCACGACGAGGCAATATGTCGCGTTCTCGTGTATCTTCACTCGAAATCGAACGCTCAAAAATTGATTTTAATCTCAAATATATTGGCGATCTTAATTACACGTTATCGTAGCCGCTCGATCGATGTCTGAAATACGCTAATTACAAATTGCAATCTCTAAGAGAAGCGTTACGAGTAATAACGATAAAATCATTTTAAGGAAGCGTAATAAATAATCTGTTATTCTTTACGAAGGAGATGCTTTAAAATTCCGCGAGATCCACTAAGCTTTGTAGAAAAATACGGATAAGACGATGCTTGGATCACGGCGAATTCTCGCTGAATATGTCGGGCTTAACTTTATACATTGTTTCAAAGTGACTGAAAAATGTCGTTACGGTCTAGCCGGAGCGTCTGGGATTTATGAGGCTTAATTGGCACGTTGATAGGAGCAGTTTTAACGCTCTTAACTTTTCACTTCGTCTTCCTGACCGGATCGCGAGGCTCAAGTCGTGTCCTCATGTAAATTTAATGACGTACACGTGGATATACTTGTCCAGGGTATTAGGGCGATACATCCATATTAATATCTTCGGGCGGCCTCTCGCGCGTTAAAAAGTTCAAAGAGCCTCGAGGAAATTTCCCGAGGAGATTTCCGACACTCACTAATGGGCGAGAGTGATGCGTTTTAACGACATTAACCTCTCGCCCTCCCACACTCGCCGTTTCCGCGTCGTACATCATTTTTTTTCGCGCACTTGCTATCATTTCTTCCCCCTCCCTGTAAATCTCAGATATGTTATAATTCACGAGCGCGAAATATATCGCGAAAATACAGCGCGTGATATTAAACAAGCGGGAAAGACTCACGAATGTCGACTCACGGCGGACTTTACATTTTCCGGTGGAATATGTTAATATTTCTGGCTCCGCTGTTATTACAAGAATTCCTTTCTGTGCCAAGTGAGACTGCGTTTCGTCATGTGCATAATTCAGGATTGCGTACATCCTACAATGCTGATATTTGCGTTGTTTCTGTTAATCGAGATCGTCGCGAGATAACGTTATCATTAATCGACCTTACTTTATGCTGCGTATGCTCATACGCTTACACATCGGGGATATTTAGGAGAATACGAATGCGCGCGAATATAAATGGCGTTTCCTGGTAATTAGCGTCGGGTTTTTCTACACGTTCGAATTGCATTAGCGGTTTTCCATGGGGATTTCACGAAACTAATTACCGGGCGATAAGTGCACTCTTTAACGATGCTAACTTTTCATTTCGTTGCCTCGTCGGTGCGACACTCGTGGCTAATTCTCATGTTTAATTAATGAGACGCGTACGTACGAACGCATCACCTTCCAGGCGTGCCCGTGCAACACGTACATGCTTGTCCGCCACATCCGCGAAAGGGTGTAAAGGCAAAGCGTGTAAAGGTGCGTGTAAAATAAAAGGTGCAAAAATTAGCCGAGCATTTTCTTACGAGTCACCGACTTTCCTGCCGAGTCACGCTTTGACGATCGCATTACAGGCTCCGTTAATTTTTTTTTCCCTTTTCCTCCCCTAAAGGAACGAGCCGTTTCTCGCGTACAAATCGACGAAGGAATTACTCTCCACGGGGACAATTTCTCGTGACGTGAAATTAGCATAACACACATCGATAACTGATAGTTCTAAAAACTCGGCACACGAGCTATTTCCACGGGAGTCTCTGTGGCGCAGTTAATACATGCCATTTTGTGCCGCGTATGCTGTAATCAGTAAACCACACTCTACCACTTGCATAATTGTAAGGTGTGCATTACAAAGCTCTGTATAAGTAATCTATTATTTCAAAGAAGAATTATTCTCCCGTGTACCCGCGTATCCATAGCAGCACGACATATGGAGCCGCATATGCGTACGACTGCGTGGCCCCCGCTAATTAAATGATGTCACAATCCCCAATTTCTATACTTCTATCGCATTTCTACCTATTCCACCGTACTTAATTCTACTTCGATGCGGTTCCGCCAATGTGGAATAATTATTCGTTACGGGACATACTTGTCTGACTCATGAGCCGACGAATTTCAACGGACATTTTCGGGCGTAATACACCGAAAGAGAAAAAATATTATATTGAAATATATGTTCGCCGAGGAGTATTAAAATAATTATTTCGCTCGGATTAACTAAATATTCAATGCAGCATACTGAGAGAAAAGGAATAAATTAATTACTTCAATGCGCCTTAGCAAATATTTAAATGTAACACTTTTCGGTGTACTTTCCGAGTGCTCATCTATTTATATATTCTATTTTGCGATCCCTATCGCAGGGGAGATCGTCATTTCCATCGATCTAACTCATTATCGGTTTCGGTACCTGATATATTTTCAACATCGGGATCACCCTAATTGAGCCCATCGTCGCACGATTTAACATCCAACTCTACGACATCGGACGAACATATCCCGAGTTAATCAACGTGCTCCTTTGATATGCTTAACGAGCCTTTTCTTGAGCCTCGACGACAGGGCGACGCAAAAAGTTCATGTAGCAAAAAACGCCGCTCGCCCGGACTCCCGTGTCGGCTCGCTCGTCCTCGTGAATTCGTAAATTCGCGGAGTAACTTCGCGGAGAGCTGGTGCCACCCTCCCTCCGTCTCGATAGCACTTCATCCCCTTCCAGGTGGTCTCGCCGGACCCTCTCCCTCCCCTACGCTCTTCTCTCTCTCTCTCGCTCTATCTCTTTCTCTCTCTCTCGACGATCCGCTTCGTCGTTCCATCTCGAGGAGAGCGCACTGGAAGTGGGAGACCAGTATCACAGCCTGCCCCACCTCGCTTAACCCCCCTGTTGCCTCCCCTCCCTCTCTTCCCCCTACTACCGTCGTCTTCGAGCCCGGGTTCCCCCCGCCTCCACCCGGACTATAATGAAAGATATTAACTACAATTTTATATCGAATTACCGCTGAAACACATTTCAAATTACTTGGGCGTAGCCGTGCCACATAGCGGAGGCACCGAGGTTGCTTCAGTTGGGATTGGCGGGATACTTAACACCAACGTGTCGGATTGGCCAGGGCCAGTTGGAAGTGGGGCTAACGCGGGGCGTTCCTCAGAGCCGATATGGCCGCCCAGGAACGAGTGGAGGTGCCTGGTGTCTTCAGTACGGACAGACCAGTCGAGGCAACTCGATGCACACGCACGCCTCGCGCCACGAACACGTCCTCAACCCTCTCAGATCATTTAGAGTGGTTCTACTTCCGGTGGACGTCACGGTTACTTTCGCGAGGATCGATCTCTGGTTCCGGGGGACTGCACGAACGCGATCGTCCGATTCGCGAGTTGCAGGGGCCGGTCCAATCGGTTGGACCGACCGCCCAATTGAGGAGTCTTATGTGGTTCGCCGTAACGAGCAGTCAATCACGAACAAGTTAATAGACATTCGTCCAGGTATCATTCGACCCTGCCAAGTGTCCGGATAAGCCGACGCAGCTGTACATAAATGACTCGGTGACAGTGCGATTTGGAGGGAAGAGCAGTGTCGATAGACCGTAACGGTACTACCCAATCCGATCGGTTTCGAGATCCGTATTCCGACGAACGGCACGCAGTGATCAATTCTGGCGCGTGTGACAGGCGGGACCCGCGATAAGCCGGCTAAACATAGACTCTCGAGCTGGCGAGCTAGACAAACCCCAATCGAGTGTTGAACCGATCGGACTCTGATAGATGTGATCGTTGATCCGGCAACAGTCGCAAGCTGCGGAGGCGCGCCGACATCGAGGAATTCCTCCCGAGGAGGCCGCCGCGCGTCTCACATCGGTTTCGCGCGGTTAAACGACCGGTCGGCGAACGGTAGGGAGCCTCGAACTTGTTCCCATTCGCGAAGAAGGCACGCATCATCTCGTCCCACCGTCTCGTACTCGCGCAAAAGTGAGAGGAACGCGCGCGCGCGCGCACGAGCGCCGCGGGGTCTTATATAAAAATAATTAATAATTGAACGCGCGAGCGAGGAAAAGGAGAAAAAGGAAAGCGGAAATGGCCGGCGGCTTCGCTCTTATGCGCGGCAATTATGTTAAGTGGCCAATTAGCAATTAACCAAGGAGCCGAGCCGAGCGGCCCCTTAATTGCGCCTGGGAAGAAGGTGGAGGTGGCGGAGGTGGAGCGACCGAGTGAACGGGAGGAAGTGCAAGGTGCATCCCGTGAATATCTGTCTCGCGCGCCATTTACTCCAGATTTCGCTCGTCCGAATTCTTCTCGGACTCTGGCCACGCTCGGACGGGCCTGATACTCGAGCGAGATGAATCATCACCGAGTCCCCGAAGCGAAGGTTCCTCTGACTTGACTTCGGAGACGTCGGAGACGAGTGCGTTCGTGTCCTCGGCGCGATCGACCGTCGGCGAAATCCAGACTCGATCCACGGATTCGAGAGCCAGCCTCGAGAATGTCGGGTAACGCGCTCGTCGCACGGGGGCAGGAGTGAGTCCAAGGGCCGAGGTCTACCGGGAATACAGTGAAGTGAAGTTGACACAGTGAGAGAGAGGGCGCGAATTCCTGGCGCAGGCTACGTCGTCACCGTCGGCAAGATTCTGTCTCCCAGGTACCGGGCGAGTCCTGGGGTGGCGACAGAGGCACCTGCAGGTGCCCGTAGCCCGAAGGAACCACCTGCGTCTACCGTGATGACGGTCCATCATCAGCAGAACCACCACGTGGCCGCTCTCAGTGGCGTCGCCGTGGCCAATAACGGACTGAACCTCAGCAGGATGTCCGGCCTGGAGGCGCACCGGCTGGAGAACATCGTCGACCGGAACGGCGTCGAGCGCCTCTCCAACGGTCTGGACTCGCGGAACAACAATCTAAATAATAACAACGGCCTGGAGAGGGGCGACGCCTCGACGACGATGCCGCAGCGATCGAGGTTTATGATCACCGACATCCTGGGCGGCGCGTCCAGCAAGATGCACCAGACCGGGCTGCCCAGCCAGGAACCACCCGGAAGTCCACCCTCGACGCCGCGAGACCTCAGTGTCAGGCATCAGTCCAGAACGTCCTTGAGCAACAGCAATCTGGACGAGGACAGCGACGCCAGCCACCACGACGGCGCTTCCGTTACTTCCAATGGTAAATGTTACTCCGTTGCACGCTTTCGACACCGCTCGTTCCTCCGCGCCACGGCGACGCGGCGAGGACACTAACGATCCGATTTTATCGAGAGTCTTTCCTATCTTTCACAAGGGCCGCTTGCTCTCACTCTCTCCTATTCCTCTCTCGGAAGTGTAATCTACGTCGTTGCGCGAGGTATTTAAAGAGCGCTCACTGTGTGCCGCGCGGTATTCAATTGTGCGGCACTGAGGAGGAATAACGTAATCGAGAAAATTCTAACCAAAAGATTCAAACGAGATACGTATATGTATCAGGCGCGTGTACATTAATTCGTAGCCTTTGTTACCAAACGTCAGGATTTATTTATCAATAGAAGATGTACAATTTTAATTATCGAAACAATCCCCGTGATTGTAATAATTACGCTATCTATCGGGCAGCTGTCGGATGCCATCGCGCCATTGAAACTTGCCGATTTTGAAATCAGTAAAGTCGTCGATAGGTTTTCGAACGTCTTCTATTGTTTGAGAATGCGTGCCGTAGAAATCTAAAGAGGGCCAAGTCTGAAGAATAAGCCGGGCGCGGTACAACTTTCCAGCCCGTATTAAAAAGCATCTTTCCTTTCGCTATGTGAGATCGAGCATTGCCGTGGAGCGGGTCTTCTCGAAATCTTCCCGCGATCGCTGGTACAAGTTGCACGACTCATTGCACCTTCGCCAAGAGCCGAACAAATCACTTTTGTGGCTCCGGCAATATTTCTTGCAGTTGAAATGTAAAACAAATGCCAAATACACACTTGATCGGCAGCAACATAGTTCGCTACTATCTTCTGAAGTTACTATCGATTGTTCCGCGACGTTATGTAGTATTTTGTAAACACAGATAGCGGCTCTTTAAAATCACAATTGAGCGGAAAAGTGTTTAGGGTTAAAACGCTCATTATGGAAGGGAATCAAGCCAAAGGCGTCGAAATTCATTTATAGACTTAATATTAATGCTGTCAATTTCGACCACTCGATTATTTCAGTAACTGAGCGTACGGCCAATTTCAAGCGTTACGAATTACTAATTTCCCTAAGGATTACAAATAATAATAACGTCCGAAATTAACCGAAATTATATTCAGTTACTGAAAGACTCGGGTACCTGAGTAGTCGAGATCGACAGTTCCGGTATAGCAGGTCCGCAATTTTCCACGACGTATGTAGACAGAGTACGCGATTCAGAGGCTATTTTTCAGCGACGGATATATCCGTCGTACGCAGCAGAAGGATTAATGCGAGAGCGTCTTTTGCGAGAGATCGAGGAGGAAGCGCGCGAATTCGGACCTCGCGATTTCGTCGATTCGCCTAACCGCACTCGCGTGGACTTTCACGAAGGTGTCAAGGACACCTACGGGACATGTTCTCTTTCTTTCCCTCTCTTTCTGCTCCTCCCGACCGGATGTTCCAATCGGTGAGATCACGTCGACCGTCGCTGCTTGCGCGCCTCCTTCGGGAATCAGATATATCTTCGCGAAGATAAAGGTCTCTCTCTCTTTTTCTCTGCCTGTCGAGTCCGTTGGACCGACAACGTTTAGGGATTCTAATGGTCCGAAATTGGAGCTCGGCATTCGAGAGCTTTAATTATGTTACCCTCATTTGTTTCATTCATCTTTTCTACCTGTGCCGCTGTCCTCTCCGGACAGTTTAACCCCGGCGGCCGCTAAGTTGTCGTAACTCCTTTGATCGCGCGACGTCGAATTTCGTAAGAACACGCGTGTTGCGCGAAATGGGAGCTGGAATGTTCGGAAAGTGCCCCCGACACTCGCGACTCACGCACGCTAATGATCACCAAAGTTCGCGGGCTTCTGATCCCCGACTAGCGGGTGGAGCGCCGTTCGCGCAGATACAAAAATAGAAAGTCGGCCTTTTCCTCCGAGCGGCGAACACGCGTCGCGCGAAAACACACGTTGCACGTACGAAAAGTGTCGCGGCGCAGTTTTCGCTGGACGCACGCTAATAAACCGTCGCGTCGTTACAAATCACACGGACGCGCGCACGTTTTCTCTCGAAGCTCGGCGAAGGTGTGCTATTAAGGCGGCCTGAGCGTATCGGCACAATTTCCGTTAATTCACAGCTTCTTCTGCCGGGGACCGGTCGTCCTCCTTTTCCCTCGCTCCTTTTTACTTTCCTCCCTTTTACACGCGCGACGAGGAGACGATCGGCCGCCCGACCGTCGCTAAAACCGCTAAGACCGCCGTGTTAGTTCCGTAATCGGCTTATTCCCTCAAAGAAGCGCATTACCGGCAATTACACGGGCGACGTGATTAGAAGCGACGACGGACGGGTCCGGTTAGCCGGTCGGAACGCTAATACCGCTTCCGCGCCACTAAATCCGGCGCTCCTTGTGAAAACAGCGGCGGGCTGTTAAGGCGCCAATTTTTCCACGACATTGACTCGCCGACGGCTCGCACCTTGCGCCCGCTATTTATAACTCCCCCTCTTAAGTGTTTCACGGACAAGACCAATGACCAGCCCCGGCGCGACGTTTGGAAATCTCGAGAGTCACGTCATGGTGATCGATAAACGTCGTCCTTGCCGCGCTAACGGTGACACGGGGGGGGGGGGAATAGGGAAAAGTCGCCCCGCGATAAGGGATATGTGCCGATCGTGCCGGCGGGGCCACGGAATCATGCGGCACGATCGCGCGCGAGCCCGTCTCAACTTTTTATTGGACCTACATTCGGACCGGATCTACGTGGTGAATTTATCGCGGTGTAATAACGAATCTCCGTCCGCGCAAACACTCTCGCGAGCTCGAGCGAGCGTGTGCACGCGAATACATAGAAACATTCCTCTGAAATTACCTATACTTATTAACCGCCGAGCAGTCGAGGCAGCTTCTTGCACCGCGAGCGAAGCCCCAGCCCTCGTATCGAACCGTCGTAAAGACCCTGTGAAAAAACTCGCGGCGTTTCCGCGACAACACGGGACACAAGAGAGCGCTGTTAAAACGCGAGGTGTTTCTTTAAGCTAATAACACCGGCATTCGTCGGTGTTGTCGTGGACGAGAATGAAATAGAGAGAGAGAGAGAGAAGGAGACGCGGTCGGTCATCATCGCGCGCGACCGTAATCGCCAATGCGTAAATGGTATCCACCTTCCGTGGTACGCCATTCCGCGCGCCACGTCGCGCGAATTATTAATGAAGGACAATTAGGAGGAGTAACGCCGATGTAATTGCCGTGCCGCACGCTTTCACGTAGATTGGCCCAGGCGATTTTTTACGGCCGGCCCCGTTAAAGCCCCGCGCGCGCGCGCGCGCGCGTTTGTCCGTCCGTCCCGTCCATTCCAATTTCCCGTCTCGATTATTACATTCCGCCATCGCGCAGCGGCCGACGCCGCGGCTCGTCACGGTACAAATACGATCGATCTTTCACGCGGCGTTGATTAGAAAATTATTAACGTCGGACTAACAGCCAGACGTAATTGCCGGCGGATTTACGCATCGATCATGCGCCGCAGCGCCACCGCAGCTCCGCTCGAGCCGATCGCTCGTTAGCTGTTTACTTCTCGCTAGGATCGCGAGCCCCTAATTATCGTCCCGAGCGTATCCTTACGCGACAATTACACGCGCGCCGCGCGTCATGCTGATGAGCGGGGGGAATCATTAACGAAGGGCAATTTAAAATCGCGACGCCGCCGTTCTAATCGCAGGAGCGGAACACAGCCCGGGCAAGGACATTCCGCGCGTGTAATTTAATCTGGATTTATCGTCCCGCGGTATCTTACAGTGTCACGGTGAAATTGCTGTTTCGCCGCCGGCGGATCGCATGTTTTCCGCCGTGGATCGTCCTTTTTAATCGTGGATTAATGCATAACCGATTTGTCGACGCGAAGCGTTATCGCCTCGCGCGCGCGCCATGCAGTTTGTCAGCGCGATACTCGTCGGTGCCGCTCACGAGCCGTTTGATCGGCGATTAGGGAAACGAATGGGAAAGTAAAGTCGCGGAAATTGCGGGAGCGGAGCGAGATCTCCGTTCTTTCCTCGCTGGAAAGGCCCAGATGCCTGGAATTGAGGACGATTCGCGCGGTTTGCGATTGGAACGCGCGTCAAAAACTAGGTGTAAACCAGGTGTAAACGCGATCGCGTTACGTCACGTAGAGCGTAGAGCGCCAAATTACGCGTGAGAGACGTAACAGATATTTACAACTCTCCTAGCTCCGCGCCACCCGTTTCTTTTAACGCGATCTTAACGTCGGATCAATGCACTCCGTTCTCGCCGGCTGAGAAAGGCGCGAAAAAAAAAAAGAGCGATCTTTCTCCGCGCAGCGGAATATCATTTCTCGGGCGCGTGTGCGAGCCGTTTGTAATCCGCTTACGAAGCCAACATTCGTCGCCCAGGATCGCATTGTTGTCATCTATATGTCGGCCCGGAAGGCCCTGCCAGAGGGCCGTTTCACGCCCTTACGGAACGAGCCCGCCGGCTTTTCGACGCGCGACTAATCCGAGAACCGGAAATGATTGGCAACCGTTTAGAACCCGGCGCGGATTAGCGGCTCTATGCCGAGAGGGACGGACTTTCGCGAGACGAAAGCAATTTCGAGTCCCGAGGCGCCTTTTTGCGAGCGCAAAACCCGACAAGTCGGTGCCGGCTGTCGGCCTTTTGACGACACAATCTGCGCGAGATTAATCCATGATCTGAATATCGAACCGAGAAAGAGAGAAAGAGANGGGGGGGGGGGGGGGGGTTCAACGGTACGCGGTAGAAGCCATGCCGATAACTGGAATGCCGCTGTGACTTGCTCTGTAAGAATATCTCAGCGTAGTAAAACACTTTAAGTGGCTTGTGATGAAAGAACGATTATCTGAATATCAAGAAGGCAACGGTAACTAGGGATGTTGTGATATCATGAAAGTATTGATATTATTACTCAAGCTGATATCGAAATTTAAAGAACTGAAAATTAGAGGTAAAAATCAGAAAAAAATATTTGTTTTGCAAGCTACTTTTAAGAGTTTCGTACATCTATACGC